TATATTTAAATAACAAATTAGCAAAAATTACAATACGATCTTTAGTTAATATTTTCGCTAATTCAATATTTAAAAAAGAAATTAGAAAAAATACTGTAATATTTATTTATAATAAAATATAATAATTAAGTGATATATAAATCACTGTTGAGAGAATAAATTTTATAGTAAAAATTATATTAATAACTAGTAATTTTTACTATTAGATTTACTATTTTTATACTTTTTAAATATAAGATATTGGTTATGTAATGATTAATATTATGAAATTTATTTGTCAAAGCAAATGATTGGCTAACATGTGCTATATAGCAGCATGTTTCAGCTAATTTTGTCTTAACAGAACAAATTTTATAATATCTTTATCGCATAATTAAAATCAATATTATACACAATTATGATCATAATTTATAAGTTATTATTGACTAGCTAAATTTTAATTTGCGATTGTTGTGCTTACATAATAACATACAAAAAATAACAAAAAAAATCTATAATTATAAGAGTTTTCATAATTTACTTCTTAAATATTATAATAAATTATAAAATTACTAACCTTGAGTTGACATCAGACTAGTAAAGCTTAATTGATCAATAGAATCTTGTATCATATTTAATTCATTTTTGTGTTTATTTAAAAATTCTTGTTTAGCAGATTGAATTTCATTGTTATATAAAATTATAAAATTTTGCATAATAATACTATCTTGAATAGAGGTAACAGTGCCATGTTGATTAATTGTAATTGTAATATTTTGAGTTGTAGTTGTTTGATTATCTATATTAGTTATACTGCTTGTTTGAAGAGTTGTTGTTCCTTTATTATTGGTAAAATATGATTATAAAAAACTGTAGTTGGTTGAGTTTCATAATAATTAAAATCATTTTCTCTTGTACTAATATTAGTACTAATAGTATCAGAGTTAGTACTAATATTAGTATTAATAATAGTAGTTAAAATTGAAGACGTTGGTGCTCTATTAGATAAAAAATTTGGCAATATTACAGTTGATTTCCAACAATTTTTGATAGTTTTTTCAGTAACATTTTCCCATGCTTTTTTAGTAAGTTTAAAAGCATCTAATAATGTAAATTCTTTTATTTTAATTGTTGAATTACCAAGAGAATTATAGGCTTCAATTCAATTATCTACAAAAAGTTTGTGATAATGAGCTTTAAAACTATGAATTATACCAGCATCACATGATTGAAGATGTGATGTAGTATTAGGTGATAAAAAGTGAATTTGAATATTGGTAAGTATAGTATTAGAATAAAGCTTATGTACAAAACAATTATCAATAAATAGAATAATATTACGATTTTGACTAGCCATTTTATGATTTAAATCTAATAACTAATTATTTCAAATTGATATTTGCATCCAAGCAGTTTTATTATATTCATATTGAACATTAATTTTATCTAAATCAATTTTGCTAACTCTTCTAAAAGATCTTGGATTTTTTGATTTACCAATAAATATAGAAATAATTTTTTCAGTCCCAGCTGCATTGCCACCTAATAAGATTATTACTTTATCTTTTGATTTTTTATGACCTTTAATAGCATGAGTAGCTAAAGTTTTGCTAGGTTCCAATTTCCAAAATAATCCTGTTTCATCTATATTAAAAATATTTTCTAATTTAAAGTTGCCATTAATTATAATTTCTTGTATTTTTCTTCTTTCTTCAGGAAGAATTTCTAAAGGAACACTTGCACCTTCATCTGTTTTTCTATATTTAGATAAATTGTGTCTTTTTTTAAATTTATTTATCCAACCATTAGAACCTTTAAATTCCTGATAATTAAAAGTATCTGCAAATTGTATAGCTTTTCTTTGTAAGATTTTATTATTAAGATCCATTTCAGCTCCAAAAGCACCTTGAACCCAAAGCCACAAAGCTTCTTCTAATAATGGCCATTTAGAACTTCTTTTAGATGTAATTAATTCAGTTGAAAACCATTTATCTTTTTTTTAAGAATATTATGTATTGTAGATTCGCCAACTAAATATTCATAAGCTAAATCTTTATTTGTTTGTATTGGAATTGATTGCTTTTTTAAACATATTTCTTTTTTTTGGTCAATTGATAAAATTATTTTTTTTCTTTTGTTAGATTTTAACATAATGTA